CAGACCAACACCTGGAACCAGAACAACACCTTCATCCAGAACAACACCTGGATCCAGAACAACACCTGGATCCAGAACAACACCTGCATCCAGAACAACACCTGGATCCAGAACAACACCTGGATCCAGAACAACACCTGCATCCAGAACAACACCTGGATCCAGAACAACACCTGGATCCAGAACAACACATGGATCCAGACCAACACCTGGAACCAGAACAACACATGGACCCAGACCAACAGGACCAGGACCAACACCTGGACCCAGACCAACACCTGGATCCAGAACAACACCTGCATCCAGAACAACACCTGGATCCAGACCAACACATGGATCCAGAACAACACATGGATCCAGAACAACACATGGATCCAGACCAACACCTGGATCCAGACCAACACATGGATCCAATACAACACCTGGATCCAGACCAACACCTGCATCCAGAACAACACATGGATCCAGACCAACACATGGATCCAGAACAACACATGGATCCAGAACAACACATGGATCCAGACCAACACCTGGATCCAGAACAACACATGGATCCAGACCAACAGGACCCAGACCAGGAACCGGGAACAGTTCAGCACGTCTCTACAGATCCAACAGCTGCTACTTCCTTCTKATCGGCTCGTGTTTCATCCAGAAAGAATTTATTTAAAAACATTTTTACTTTCACTTTCTTGGTTTTAACCAGATGAACCTTCTGAATGATGATAAAATAATGAAGTTGGTTTTATTTTAAAAAGATAAAARGAAGAAACCACATTTAGCACAAAAACACATCTGCTCCTCTGTCCCTCAGTCCAGTCAGGACATCTTTATAAAACACAAGAATAAAACAAAGCAAAGACCCCTCAGATACATCTACCAAATGAAGACTCCAAATGTGCTTTCAGCCCCTCCTAAACTCGACAAAACCAAGTGTTCCTTCAGACCCTCACTGAGTTTTCCTCTTCAGGACCTCCTACTGTCATCAACATCAGCTGAACCAACACTAGCTGTTAGCTTTAGCATTAGCTGGACCTCCTGCCATGACTTCCTGTCTACAAATGTTCCTAACTTCAACAAGTCAAACAGATCCAACCAGCAGGAAGACATGTTGGAGATAATGTCTCTGGTTCATTATTTCTGTGGAACGTGACAGTCAGTAGCTGTGTTTCATCTATGTTTTTATGCACATTTCAAAGTATCTCATTAACAAAGGTTGATGAAATGGAAAAAAAAACTTCCTCCATTTCACACAGAGGTTTTTACACTCACTTGAGGTGTTTGTTGTTTTTTTCCAAAAAGAGGTAATGTACAAAATTGAAAATGAAAACGTGTAATTTGCATTTCTTTTTTTTTTTCAACATTTTAGCCCTGTTTATCAAAGTATGACACTTACAAACAGACCTGTGATCTCTGTGGGATTCGCCTGATTAAATAAAGGTTAGTAAAACATTTTGACTAGTGTTARTTTTTCAAAATTTAGCTATAATTTCTAATTTAGCTAAATACGCTAGCGTTAGCATAAGCAGCTGTGTTTCTTATAAGTTTTTCGGAGATCTTACCTCCACAATACTCCTCAGGTCTCTGACGTAGGTCTGCTCCGTCTCCACGATCTCCAGTATCACCCTCTGCAGACGGGAAAGCTGCCTGGGCGTGGCCTCTACTGCTGCTGACACCTGATTGGCTGTGTGTCCTTTGTGGGCATGGGTTGTACCTGTCRCCTTGGTAGCCCCTCCATGCATGGTGGCTATGGGGGTAAGGTCCAGGCTGATGTCCGAGCTGTTCCTCTTTGGAGTAGAGGCCGTTGAGGATGATGGAGAGATGGTATAGGCCGGCACGGTGCCATATGGGAGTGATGAAGAGGAGGAGGAAGAGGAGTGTGAGGCGTCCTGCAGAGAGACGGAGGAGGTGGAGGAGGACAGGGAGAAGGAGGCTGGACGCTCGCCTTCTGAGCAGACTGTGTTGACCGAAGTGCAGGAAGACGATGACGCTCCTCGTTCACCAGATGACATCATCCTACCCACAATCCCACTCAGGGACGAGGCTGAGGAAGGACGCTTGGCAGCTGCAGGAAGACGAAGAGACAAGAGTTAGTTCATCACTGACTCCCAACCCAACAGAACCCAACAGGTTCTGTCAGGAACAACATGCAGTGAAAACAAGAAGCTGTGGTTCTGAATCTCCTCGGAACCTATCGAGGGTCTTTGTCCAAGGCCTAACCTAACTCCTCCCACATCTGAGCTTCAGCCTCAGCTGAGACTCGCTAGGCCTGCCAATACCCCTCAGCTGTCTCTGATGTCCTACCAGCCGGCAAGGCCTGATAGGACTCCTGCAGTTTGGTAACCTCCCTTGCTCAGGGTGTCCACCACAGAGTTCGATGATGGCCTCTGCAACAAGCACCAACAACGCTGAGGCCACAGCTCAAGGCAGCCGCTTCAACAGCCCTTCACTGTCCTTTCTCTGGACATATCTAAACCAATGAAGCACTGTCCCTTCTCTGGACACATCTAAACCAATGAAGCACTGTCCCTTCTCTGGACACAACCAAACCAATGAACCTGTGTTTCACCTCTTGACATGTCCAAACCATCTCAGTCTGGTCTTTAACTTTATTTCCAGTTCTTTAAGCTGTGCTGAACCTCTGATCATCTCATTTCTAATCTTCTCTGTGATGGACAAGACCTGTCCAGGTACCCCACACCWGTCAGACAGCGACCGTTGGACAAGGACAACTGGTAGGTTAGGGTAATGTATGGAWAAATGTTTCTAAATGTTTTTATGAATTAAAATTAAATGTTTCTGATACCTATTTTTACAGTTTGATTTCAGCTTCATGTTGATTTTTAGAAAAATATTTGTATCCATGCTTTCTGTTAGCAAAATATCCACTGGATCATGAAAGAAATATGATTATATTTGTCAAAATATAAGGATGAAGATAAAGAAGTTTCCACAGTCCACCAGTGGCAACCAACACAACATAAGTCTAAGTGAGGTGTGGTAGTAGCTGAGAGTCGTCCTCAAGCAGAAGCTTCTCTTCAAGGTTGGACCAAAACACATCCATCATCATGTCTCACCACCTGATGACATCTAACTCTGACATGGAAGTGGTGGATGATACAGGGGTTGGACAATRAAACTGAAATACCTGGTGTTAGACCTCAATAATTTATTAGTATGGTGTAGGGCATTTTTTTTCTGGCAAATACAGCATCAATTGGTCTTGGGAATGACATATCCAAGTCCTGCTCAGTGGTCAGAGGGATTTGAAGCCATTCTTCTTGCAGGACAGTGTCCAGGTCACTACATGATGCTGGTGGAGGAAAACGTTTCCTGACTCGCTCCTCCAAAACACCCAAAGTGTCTCAATAATCTTCAGATGTGGTGACTGTGCAGGCCAGGGAGATGTTCAACTTCACTTTCATGTTCATCAAACCAATCTGTCACCAGTCTTGATGTGTGCACTGTTGTCATCCTGATACACAACACCACCTTCAGGATACAGTGTTTGAACCACTGGATGCACATGGTCCTCCAGAATGGTTTGGTAGTCCTTGGCAGTGACACGCCCATCTAGCACAAGTATTGGGCCAAGGGAATGGCATGATATGGCAGCCCAAACCATCACTGATCCACCCCCATGCTTCACTCTGGGCATGAACCATTCTGGGTGGTACATTTCTTTGGGGGCTTCTCCACACTGTAACTCTCCTGGATGTGGGGAAAACAGTAAAGGTGAACTCATCAGAGAACAACATGTTGCACAGATTTGTGCTCCTTGCACCATTGAAACCAACATTTGGCACAGTGACCAAAGGTTTGGCTATAGCAGCCTGGCTGTGTAAACTGACCCTGTGGAGCTCCTGAYGGACAGTTCTGGTGGAAACAGGAGAGTTGAGGTGACATTTAATTCTGCTGTGGTTTTGTGTTTTTGGATACAATCAGGTTAGCACCTGAACATCCTTTCAGACAGCTTCCTSTTGSGTCCACAGTTAATCCTGTTGGATGTGGTTGGTCCTTCTTGGTGGTMTGCTGACATTACCCTGGATACTGTGGCTCTTGATACATCACAAAGACTTCCTGTCTTGGTCAAAGATGCTCCAACAAGACGTGCACCAACTATTTGTCCTCTTTTGAACTCTGGTATGTCACCATAATGTTGTGTGCATTGTGATATTTAGATCCAAACTGTGCTCTTACCCTGCTAACTGACCCTTCACACTCTGCTCTTACTGGTGCAATGTGCAGTTAATGAAGACTGACCACCAGACTGGTCCAGTTTAACCATGAAACCTCCCACAGTAACATGACAGCTGATTCAGTTTCATTGTCCAACYGCTGTACGTATTCCTGTAGGATACATTACTTTTTACCCAGCTGGTTAGTTCATAATAAAGATATTGGATCAAGATGAACCAGTCCAACAGTTAKGAGTCAATAAATTTTAGTTTCAAAACATCTGTTTCAGAGACAGAAGAATCTCTTTCTTGCAGAGACCAATAAGTTCAGACATGTCTGACWGAGCTCTGACAGCCGTCAGCCCCACAACAGAAAGATGTTGTTTTATTAATAATTCATCAGGAGAGTTTCACTCCAACATCAAACAAACACACAAACACACAAACAAACAAACAAACAAACAAACAAACAAACAAACACAACAGAAAACTGAACCAGAACTCATTAGATCCATTTGAAAATCTACAGAACAAAAACAGACACACTTACCTTTGGCAGCCTTTCTGAAGTGTGTGTGTGTGTGTGTGTGTGTGTGCGTGCATGCATGTGAAGGTGTGTGCACAGGAAATTGTGCACGTGAGTGTACGGGTGTTAAAATCCAGGATGTGGTTTTCGTGCAGATTCTGACTCTTCATGAACAGAAACATCTTCAAGTTCCTGATTTCCACCAGAACCAAATCAGAACCATAATTCAGGTCTACATTAGACCCTGCTTCATCAGAACCAGAACATGTGACAGCTGTCTGCTCTCTGAGGGTTCAGTACTTTAAACATGACAGGAGCTGTCATGAAGGATGTGTTCCTGTGTTCTGATGGTTCATGTTTGATTTGATTTATTGATTAGGATCTCCGTTAGTTTCCACTGAGATGGTTTCTGATCTTCCTGGGATCCAACACACAATATTTACAACACATAAAATCATGACATAAAATATACAGAAAATCAGTCAAATTCCACATTTTACAAAATTACAAACCTAAGCCTGGTTAAAACCAAAACAAAACAAAACAAAACAAAACAAAACGAAGAAGAAGAAGAAGAAAATAAAATTTAACACAAATAAGATTTCACTGCTCTTTTAAAAGAAAATGTGCTTTTTAGATAACTAATGTTTTTAGGTAATTTATTCCATATCTGAATAGCTCTATAAACTGATTTCTGTAACAAGTTTGTCTTAGCATGATTTACAATTAAATTTGTTTCACAAGAGTGTCTAGTAGAATTATGTATCTGATCAGAGTAAATGAGCATTAATACACTGATTCAGGTCTCATGGTTAATATAACTTTGTTTATAAATGTAAATAAACTATACTGCACCCTAACCTTCAGTAATGGCCATGGTACRGTGCATATCTGTAACGCTTGAATGAAATGGACATCTTAACACTAAGCCAGCCACCTTATTTTGAACTACCTGCAACCTTAAAGTGCCTGTGATGTCAAATTTTTGTTATACATATGAATGCATTTTTAGAAAGAGGACATTGATAAAATATTGCAAAATAAATTTCATGTCGCTGAGATGAACAGTTGTTGAGATATTTGCCTGT